CTAGTTTCGTGTCTTTTTTGCGCGAGCCCTTTGCGACCCTCCTTCGCAGCACACGCATTCGATATAGCCCGCGGGTTATTGCTGTGGCAAATGACAGACCCTTTACACCCTTTTCCCAGCTTTGGATATAACCATGCCATACTATACTCTACCATACAAAACAACTTGAAAATGACAACACTAAGAATTTCATTGTTAGGGGAAAAAAAAAACAACGACAGCCAGCGGTCCATGAAATAGATGCGACAACAAATCTTCAATAGAAATGAATACATGAGACATGAGAGAATTGGGAAATGCACTAAATAATCCCATATTTACGAATTTAAACAAAATTTGAGGGGGATTCATTATTCGCACATGTGAAGTTAGTTGCCTTATGCCGTATGTTTGTACGCGTCGATCTCAGAAGATATAAGAGCTAGAGACTTCAATTTTTTTTATTTCCGTATATATATCGCGGATTTCGATTATCGATTACTTATTCCGTTTTTTATCGATAAAAAGTATCGAAAATCAATTATAAAATTATACTCCCACATCTTTAAAGCTAGAGTTTTAAAATTTAAAATATATATTGAGTTGCATTTGTTTTTACAATTTCGTTAATTTTTGGTAAATAATAGCTTAATATTTATATATTAAATATTTGTAAAAGGCGTTCAAATACGAGAGACGTTATAGAAGTTTGATTAAGATTGTACGTCTAGAAATTAAATAATATCGCCAGCACTGCAGCGCACTTTAAGCGCTGTCGCTGCCTACTGCGAGTTTGCCAAGGCGGGTTCAGGGGATCTCGTAGTCGAGCAGTCTCGACCAGAGCTTTTTTACTACCTATGATCACGATCTGAAAGTTTAATTAAGTTTGAGAACTTATAAATAGGATCTCATAATATTGCCAAATATAAATAGTATAGTATGAGTGGTTTGATCCAAATATATATGATCCTTGTATATATATATATATATATATTACATCCATTTTATACATGGATGTAATAAAAGTTTGGAGCTGATATATCTTTGCCTATTAGCCAAAATCCAATGAAGTTGTATCCTCTACAGCTTTACAGTTGGACGATCAAATTTCTGTTAATTTTTTTTACAAAAATTTATGTATATACAAATTGAGAAAAAATTGAGTAGGTAGAAATCCATCATTTGACAAATTAGTTGCTCCAGAGTCCCTCCAGACAGTTGCCAAAATTATTCGAATGTTTTTAACCTTTGGTCGTATCCTAAATAATTACTTTTTTTACTTTACAAAAATTTGTACTTTGGCATTTCTTAGTAGTTTTAAAAAAATAATTTATTGATTATATATGTAAAAATTATATGATTATTATTATATTAAATTATTATATTATATTATATGATCGTTACAAATTAACCATTAGTACTTGTTTCTTTTTCTTAGGCCTAACTCGTCCTGCCTTGTATCCGTTTGCTGCAACGCAATATCCTTATCCGATGCTAAGTCCCGACATGTCGCAAGTAGCTTCATGGTAAGTGGGAAATATTTCACTAAAATATCGTGCTCTTATCTAATTGGCTACGTCTATTCATTGGTAACTGTGATGCCAATAGCTAATGGACTTCAATGAAACGTCTATCATTCTCATATTTGAAAGGTGTTAATTATGATTATTTTGTTTCGGTTCCATTTTTCTTAGGCACACACCATCTGTATACTCAGCATCTAGTTTTAGAACGCCCTATCCATCCTCGCTTCCAATTAATACAACGCTGTCAAGGTGATTATAAAATAAATTTCGAAATATAAATCACAGTTGAGAGCGAACTATTCTTTATTTATTTATTTATTTTTGGACACTCAGCGATTTTCCATTTCGGTTCTCTCCGAGTCTGTTGCCTTCGGTTCATGCCACATCTCATCACGTATTGAATTCCCATTCAGCGATTGTGGCATCCACGGGAAAACAGGATTGCGGAGTGCAGGATTCCACAACGAGCAATCGGTATTCGAGGTAAATTATAATGATTAAGTGAAATATGTCGGATGTTTAAAGATAATTTCAAATATAGAGAATAGAGTATCAAATGAAATTCACATTATGTAGCACTTGGTTAATAATTTATTTTCGTAATATGTTATTGTGTTTTAACGTGTAATAGATTATTTATTACGAAGTTTCAGTCATACATATATTGCTACGAATATTTTTTACTAGTCTCTTTTTTTTAAATATATATGTAAAATATTACGAAAACGCTTTTTGTTTATATATGATAATCTTCTTACATATAATCATTAAACACTTCTATAATTCCGGCTTTTTGGGTGGACTCTTAATGGACGCCATATTTAATATACACACAGCCCACTTGAGCGTACATGCACACTGTCGCACACACATAGGGACGTAAACTCATATACATATGCATACACAAGAAATGTAAACTTTCCTATTGGCCCATTCCAATGCTTGCGTTTGCGCATTACTAAGCAACCCCTAAGGGGCTTTACCATACACTACCACTTCAAAAAAAAAAAAAAATAAATAAATAAATAAAGAAATATATAAATAAATAAAAAAATAGAAAAAGGAGGAATGAACCTAAATGGCTCAACAATTTGCCTATATTCCATTTAATTTAAAATTCGAAGTGCGATTTAGGTTACCGGTTAATTGCAACTCCAATTTTCTCCCCCTCTGAAGTGCTCCTTTATATTTTTTCTGATTTTTTTTCCTTTACTTTCATATTATTTATTAATTTATTATATTGATTCAATCAATCCAAACAGATAATAATTTAATAATAATAAAAAAGTTATATTGGGAAATTTGTATATTTCCCGTTTATTTGTAAGGAAATTATGGTAATTCCTATCGAATCATTCAGAAAACGTTTTTCGCCAACAGATGGCACTACTGTGTTTCTTTCTCAATAAACAGCTACGCAACTGTTCACATTAGCGAACAGCAAGTACGACTCCGAACGGTGGTAATTAACTCAGAACTATCGCGTATCAGAGCGACGGCTGATTTAGATTCTGTCAATAAAAGCTGTGTTCAATCTGTATATAGAAATATGGGATCGTTAAAAGATGATTTATTTGTTTATTTATTTTTTTATATTGATAATAAATTATTGATTAAATTGGAAAACTTCAAAAGTTGCCAATCAATTTTTATACAAAAAAGGTGGATTTTCAATCATAGTTGAATTAAAAGTATAATAATATAATTTAAAAGTAAAAGAATATATTAAATATATATATTCATAACTTCGATTAATAAATTTATTCTTTCAAATGCAAACAAAAGTTCCATCATAAATATAATAAATAATAAAATCGCGTCCCTAATAATTACAGCCGCTCAGTTGATGCTGAAGCTCTATTTTAGTTGATGCATATGGAAACATTGTTCAAGAGAGGAGAGAGAGCTAGAGAGCCTTTTCTCTTCTTTCTCACCGCGCAAATATTTTGAGTTGTCACATACCGGGCTCTCTCTCTCTCTCTCTGTCTCCCACAGATAGAGAGAGGGGAGTAGTCGAATACAATTGTAAATTTTGGTTTAAAAGCCAGCGAAGGTCGGAAGTAATTCGTCAAAAATTGTTGGCCAGACAGTTTAATTAAAATAAAAAAGAATTATGCAAAAATTAAAGCCTATCATGAAACCTACTTAAATCGCCAAATGTAAACTCCTGGAATAATTCACTATGAGAGGAACAAATACAAATACAGCTTAAACGTGTAGCCTATATCACATATGTGCAGTGTCCAGTGTACCAAACACAAAACAAAACAAAAAAGAAGGCCAAGAGAGATATATTTAAAAATTAATAAACTCCTACATTTTGTATTTTGCTAGTGAGAATTCAAACTCCCATTCAGTCAAAGAAATCACGAGTGATTTTAAGTGTGTCTCTAATAACGGAAAATGTATCTACATTAAATTACGAACATATATATATATATATATATATATATATATCCCTAAAATGTGTTTAAGGCGATGGCCATAAATCAACTCAGTAATACATACAAACAAATATACAAGTCAGTAAAAGAGAGAAAAAGGAAGATAGCAAGGGCTTTTTATTGCAATGGAATCAAAATAGTGAAATTTGAGATCCGATTAGAGTTCTATTGTAAATTAAACTATTTTTTTATAAACAGATATAGACATATTTATATTCATATATTTATATATATATATATATCCGCAACAGGCAGGCAACAGGGTTGTAGATAGTGTTGTTTACTGCGCTTGTCCGCTGGCTCTGTTTGCTTCACTAACAGCTTGGTGTCAACAACTTTGCAATACTCTATCTACGAGCAGGTAGATGCCCATTCTGGGCAGCTTCATTTAAATGGTAGAGTTATGTTTAATTACTATAGACTTTATGGTTATGTTATGCTACCCAGACACCCATACACCCATTTATATTGCATAATGAATATGCTGAGAGAGTTTTTCCACGAGAGAGTAATATATTATTGCTATGAACATTTCTCCTTTAGTTTCTCTCTCTGAAAGAGCTAGATAGCTAGATTTTTAGGGTGGTGTAGGTCAAGAACAAAAAATAAAATCAAGCAATTGTTTAAATTTTGATCAATTTTTATACATATATGGAAAAGTGAGCAGTTATACGTTTGTGTAGATAAAGAAGTATCAGAATAAGATTCGAAAATAATAATTACAAATTGATGATGATGGATTTCGAGACAATAGGGGAGTCATCACTTAAGATGTGCGCAACCCATTTTCTGAGGGCCATCAGATTTAAAGTTAAGTTTATTCAATTTTAAAAAGGCTATCTATAAACAGAAATCGAATTCGATCAAAGCCCGTGAAATAAGAATTCAGAGAAACAAGTTTGCAAATCCAAATGCTGCAAATCGGCCGCGCGAATTAGAAGAAGGGAGTGCTTAAAATGATTCTAGGCAATATGTTGAACTGTTCTGTGCAAATGAGTGGATAAGTAGTGCGGAATTCGAGGAAGCACGGTTTCGCGCTCTGTTACTTACGATGAGAGATTCCAGAGGCGGACTGTCTCCGCCTAAAGAGATAACTAATATAACGTATAGGCCAACAGTGCAATTGAATGGCAACGAAGTGCCCGATGAGAATAAAGAGCTCAAGGAGCTTTCCATGCCGATTGGCAATATGATAAACGATTCGATCTCACAATCATCTTCAACAACATCGTCATTGTCAACATCAACGTCAACAACGTTAACTCAACCACATGGCGAGCCATTGCCGAAAACCAACGCTGATGCAATGGAGCATATTTTTAATGCACCAACCTCAAATAATGCTGTCCCTATATTGCCAACGACAGCAACATCGAATTTGATGTCGGAAATATTGTTGAGAAAACAGAAACATAATATGCTCAACCATTGGTCCAAAATGGAGGAGAGAGATCAGTTGGAGGGGAGTTGCAATAATCGCGATTCCATACTGGCCCATCGCATATACAATAGAAATAAGTCCACAGAAAGGCAGCAGCAGCAGCAGCAGCAACAACATCAACAATTGCTGGCAACACAATTACTATATGCTCAATTTTTGCAACAGCCTCATTTGTCCTTAGATGTTCATCAGGAGCGCCAGCGAGAGCGTAGGCTACAAATATTTGAATATTCAGGCTTACCGAAATCGGATCCAGAAGCTATCCCATTAGCAACGGCATTGCCATTGCCGTTGCCACTGCCATTGCCAACAGCAATATCACATGACAACAATAACAACAGTCGAAATGAAGTCGATGAGCAAAAAGACAGCAAATGTAAGTCAGGCAACCAAAGGTCATCACGAAACAGCGCAAGCGATTCAAAGGTTTATTTTTTTCGAGAGCAGAAGAATGTGTTGTTTGATGTGAAGAAGGGACTAGAGCAGTTGACATTGCTTTGCAGTCAATTTCAGCTAAGTCTCATGCAACCATCATCGACGGCAACAGCTATTAATGAGGACAATAACAACGAAGCAACCATCGCGTCCGCCGTGTCACTTGAACTAACTGTGCAGCGCGAGTTAGAGAGCAATCGAATGCAAATCAATGGTATGTTAGGTCAAGTGCGTAGGCTCTATCATCAGTGGAGCAGTGCCGAGCTCTACTATCAACGCAGTCTGCAGCGCCTGGGCCTGCACCCGGATAGCAAAACGATAAACAACAGCCAGTCGCCAACTCACAATGTGATGGCTCTGGCTGCGATTGCGCTATCAGCTGAGGTCGATACAGCGTCAAAGAGCAAAGCCGATGTGGAGAGCGTATACAAGCAGGAGAACTTCAACAATGAACCTGAAATAAATTCGTCGGAGAATCGGCGTACACTGCAAGATATTGAAAATATTATTATAAAGCAAGCAGCGGCAGCCGCAGCGGCAGCCGCAGCGGCAGCAGCCGGCGCTACCCAACAAATAAAGCTATCCAATTCCAGATACGAGAGTGCCGAAAATAGCAACAGCGATGACGATGACGAGGTCGATGAAGATTGCTCATCCTCACCTTTTTGTATTTGGCACTCGAAGCACAACGCGCACCCGTCTGAGGCAAATGTTGTTGATACAGCCGAAATACTGTTAGAGTATACATCGCTGGCAACAGTGCAGGCAAAAATGGGCGCTGCGCCTGCGTCTACTCCTAGAACTGCACCTGCAACTGCTTCTGTTTCGAATACCTCCGTCTTAAATCTAACGCCGAGTAGCCAGCACGGCTTGCTTACACGAGAATCAATGTTAAGCTGCGGCGGCGATCCAGCCTATTTGGCCGACAAACAATTAACACCAATACCAGTCACGCCGCCAACTAGCAGTAACAGCAGCTGTTCAACAGTCAATGGAGGACCTCTTCCCCTCAAGTGCTCGAGTGCCACTCTGGCACCGGCTACTACTAATAGCAGTAACAATAGTGGCAAATACCATAATCGGCGCAAGTCACGCTATGCGCGCCGCATTGCAACTCCTACAAGCCAGTTGGACTATCAGTCAAGCAAAGAGCTGAACTGTAACGCGTATCAAGTCAGTTCGCCATCAATGTTTTCATCTGCTGCCTCATCCTCTACGTCCTTACCGCCGGGATCATCGGCGGCAGCAATAGCAGCAGCAGCCATTCAGGATAGGCATTCGCCTGCAGCAGCTGTTGCAGCTGTTACAGCTATGCAGGAAAGAGCCCTCAGCGATATGTTTAAGGCACAGCTTGACGCTCTTACTGCGGCTGCTGGATCTCAAACTGGAGCTAGAGTTGGAACCGGGTCTGGTCCAATTGAAGCTTTATCGGAAGGTGTGCTAAATGAAAACTGTGATGGGTTATCTACTATGCCTATGTCGGATGCACCCTACGATTTAAGCATTGGAAACAGACTAAACAAAATGTAAATTTCTTTCATAAATATTTTAAAGTTTTTTTTTTTTTTACGGATTTATGAAATTTCATTGAAATCACAGAAGTTGTTAACAAGCAAATTGGCCAATTTCCAAAAATATCATCATTCCGCACTCTAATGAAAAATTTCAAATAAGTGTTTCTGTACAGCAAGAGTCAGTATTGGTTACTGTAAAAAGGCAGATATTTTGTTAATTTTTAAATTTTGTAATTCGATTACATTAGCACCTCTTACATCTGGTTATCAAATACTGTAAATTTAGTCAAGTCTACAAAAATTGTTATTCCCTGCCGAAATAAATGGGTTATAATATCCTTGGTCGAGCAGTCTGATCTCGCTCTTACTTGAGTTAGTTCACAGTTGGGCAATAGCACTACATACGTTTTATTTAAGTGTAGTAATCTGTTCAACTATTGTATTACAATTACTGGACTAGTCACTTTTAAATGAAATGGTTCTAAAAAATCTGTAAGGTTATTTATAATTTGTTTTATCTGATTCCGGTTATCCTGTATGAGAAAATATAAATCATTAATATTGTTTTCTCGACAAATACGAACATAATTTAATTAATTTTATGTATCTAATTGATTTAAAATAATAGTTGTGTTTTCTATTTGCAGAAACCTGGAAACGAAAGGCTCCTCAAATTCGCAAGCTAACGACTGTAAAGATAGTTCAAATGATAAAAAAAAACCACATATCAAGAAACCACTAAATGCATTTATGCTATATATGAAGGAAATGCGAGCCAAAGTTGTCGCCGAATGTACACTCAAAGAGTCAGCGGCGATAAATCAAATATTGGGTCGGCGGGTAAGATTTATCTCTATCTCTCTCTCACTCTCAATTATATATATATATATATATATATATATATATATATATATATATATATATAT